GGAGGAGAGGATACAGGAGGGAAGGAGGAGAGGATACGGGAGGGAGGGAGGAGAGGATACGGGAGGGAAGGAGGAGAGGATACAGGAGGGAGGGAGGAGAGGATACAGGAGGGAGGGAGGAGCGGATACGGGAGGGAGGGAGGAGAGGATACAGGAGGGAGGGAGGAGAGGATACAGGAGGGAAGGAGGAGAGGATACAGGAGGGAAGGAGGAGAGGATACAGGAGGGAGGGAGGAGAGGATACAGGAGGGAGGGAGGAGAGGATACAGGAGGGAGGGAGGTAGGGAGGGAGGAGAGGATACAGGAGGGAAGGAGGAGAGGATACGGGAGGGAGGGAGGAGAGGATACGGGAGGGAAGGAGGAGAGGATACAGGAGGGAGGGAGGAGAGGATACAGGAGGGAGGGAGGAGAGGATACAGGAGGGAAGGAGGAGAGGATACGGGAGGGAGGGAGGAGAGGATACAGGAGGGAGGGAGGAGAGGATACAGGAGGGAAGGAGGAGAGGATACGGGAGGGAGGGAGGAGAGGATACAGGAGGGAGGGAGGAGAGGATACAGGAGGGAAGGAGGAGAGGATACGGGAGGGAGGGAGGTAGGGAGGGAGGAGAGCATACAGGAGGGAAGGAGGAGAGGATACGGGAGGGAGGGAGGAGAGGATACAGGAGGGAGGGAGGAGAGGATACAGGAGGGAAGGAGGAGAGGATACAGGAGGGAAGGAGGAGAGGATACGGGAGGGAGGGAGGTAGGGAGGGAGGAGAGGATACAGGAGGGAAGGAGGAGAGGATACGGGAGGGAGGGAGGAGAGGATACAGGAGGGAGGGAGGAGAGGATACAGGAGGGAAGGAGGAGAGGATACAGGAGGGAAGGAGGAGAGGATACAGGAGGGAGGGAGGGAGGAGAGGATACAGGAGGGAGGGAGGTAGGGAGGGAGGAGAGGATACAGGAGGGAAGGAGGAGAGGATACGGGAGGGAGGAGGAGAGGATACGGGAGGGAAGGAGGAGAGGATACAGGAGGGAGGGAGGAGAGGATACAGGAGGGAAGGAGGAGAGGATACGGGAGGGAGGGAGGAGAGGATACAGGAGGGAAGGAGGAGAGGATACAGGAGGGAGGAGGGAGGAGAGGATACAGGAGGGAGGGAGGTAGGGAGGGAGGAGAGGATACAGGAGGGAAGGAGGAGAGGATACGGGAGGGAGGGAGGAGAGGATACGGGAGGGAAGGAGGAGAGGATACAGGAGGGAGGGAGGAGGATACGGGAGGGAGGGAGGAGAGGATACAGGAGGGAAGGAGGAGAGGATACAGGAGGGAGGGAGGAGAGGATACAGGAGGGAGGGAGGAGAGGATACAGGAGGGAAGGAGGAGAGGATACAGGAGGGAGGGAGGAGAGGATACAGGAGGGAAGGAGGAGAGGATACGGAGGGAGGGAGGAGAGGATACAGGAGGGAGGGAGGAGCGGATACGGGAGGGAAGGAGGAGAGGATACAGGAGGGAAGGAGGAGCGGATACGGGAGGGAAGGAGGAGCGGATACGGGAGGGAAGGAGGAGAGGATACAGGAGGGAGGGAGGAGAGGATACAGGAGGGAAGGAGGAGAGGATACAGGAGGGAAGGAGGAGAGGATACGGGAGGGAAGGAGGAGAGGATACAGGAGGGAGGGAGGAGAGGATACAGGAGGGAAGGAGGAGAGGATACGGGAGGGAGGGAGGAGAGGATACAGGAGGGAAGGAGGAGCGGATACGGGAGGGAAGGAGGAGAGGATACAGGAGGGAGGGAGGAGAGGATACGGGAGGGAAGGAGGAGAGGATACGGGAGGGAGGGAGGAGAGGATACAGGAGGGAGGGAGGAGAGGATACAGGAGGGAAGGAGGAGAGGATACAGGAGGGAGGGAGGAGAGGATACAGGAGGGAAGGAGGAGAGGATACGGGAGGGAGGAGGAGAGGATACAGGAGGGAGGGAGGAGAGGATACAGGAGGGAGGGAGGAGCGGATACGGGAGGGAAGGAGGAGAGGATACAGGAGGGAGGGAGGAGAGGATACAGGAGGGAGGGAGGAGAGGATACAGGAGGGAGGTTGACTGTTGTGGAGCTCAGCTTTGGTGCATCTGCAGTAAAACTTCATCAAATAAAATCTGGGAAGTTTGTTTATGTTGTGAAATCTAGTTTAACTGTAAACACACACACACACACACGCACACACACACACACACACACACACACACACACAGTGTGATGTCATTACTCATTAGCTTCCTGGTAACGACAAATGCATGTAGCAGCACGCAGTTTAATTTACCAGCTCATTACATACACAGCGTGTATGTGTGTGTGTGTGTATGTGCACACTTAGATTTTTTATTTAGATAAACCACGAGGTCATCAACACAGAGAGAGAGACTGATACAGAGACATAGAGACAGACAGGGAGAGAGAGACACTCCTGTCATACAGAACTCAGGTGCGAAACATTCACAGCCAGATGTTTAAAGAGGTCATGTTCAGGTTCATAGTTTGAACAGGTTTACAGGGTTTCATTTTCCACAGCTTCATGTCCTCTGACTGCCTGGAGGGGCTCTAATGTTGGGGTGGGGTGGGGGAGTTTTGCAGCTCAGTGTGTTTGTCCACACCAGCCACCAGGCAGCATCACGCATTGTGTTCAGTTCTGGAGTTTTGTGTGGGAGAGGGGAACTCCCTTTGGACTAGACTTCACTTTGCAAAACTGTTACATGCACAAAAAGATATATAACACAAAAAAGGAGAGGGGAAAAGCCAAAAAGCAGAATATGACCTCTTTAAGAACAGCGATGAAACAACGGAAGAGAGAGACAAACACTCGCGGTTATAACGAGATAATATCTGAGATGTAAATGTGTTGTGAGGTTATTAACGTGAAGGTAAACATGTGAAATGTTCTTTTTATTGACTCTTATTGGTGTTCAGCATGTTGGAGCGACTTCAGCTGCAACTATTAATAACATCAAACTGTATGTATTCATCTGTACGGCCTGCAAATGGATCAACACACACACACACACACACACTGTGGCCTTTCTGCCTCAGCGAAGGCGGAGAGCATCATGAATATTTAACACTCGACAAACCTCTCTGTCAGAAACACTGACATCACACACACCGACTGCCAGAGTGTGTGTGTTTAATGTGTGTGTGTGTTCAGAGGATGTATCTGTGGGTCGTAGTGAATAAAACATGCACTGGCCTGCCACTCTCCATGCAGTACTAACAGTACTCAGGTCAACACCCCGTGTGTGCGTGATGTTGTTTACAGAAAAGCAGCTGTGATGAAACTGAAACTGCAGTGACTCATTTACACCTCATTCATTCATTCATTCATTCATTCATTCAACACACACATTCGACAAGTTCACTTCAGTAACAAAGACTTGCTGCTTTTTCTGGCATCCATATTTTAAATTCTTCCCTCCATATAAACGTATAATTCTGGTGGCATTCTTCTCAATTTTCAATAATTTTCAAAAATTACAAAACTGTCTCAACTCGTGGTCCTCACTGCTCACAGTTATGGCTAAATGCAGTGCACTATGGGTACACAGATGGTGACTTAAAAGGGTCAAAAAGCTGAGTGTGGAAGGCCGGACACTTCTCTCCCTCAACGCTCACCATCTTGGCTTCATAGAGGAAGGGGAGGGGCCACCAATCTGTTTTCAAACTTGTGAAAATGGCAACAGAGGAAGCTGCAGCCGCTGTGTTTGTTTAAGTAAAGCATGTTCATTTTTATTCACTTTTAATAAGACTGAACTAAAATCAAGCATGCAAAGCCAGCAGATATTTTGGTTCATGGTGATAAAGATCCGCCCGGGTGAGACCAAAGAGCTGAGCGGCCGTTTGCTTCCATACTCTGTTTCGAAAGATGCCGTCACAGGAGATTCATGATCCTGTCCTTATTTCAGTGCATTTGTTTTTTTTGCGGTTTACACAAGAAACACTAGAACTTCCTGTAAATAGTCTGAAAGTCTGAACCATCTACAAAATGCTTTCACACTTGAACCGAACCGAACAGCTTGATCCAGACCAAGACTACCTCCTTTTGTCTGACTAAATTTGGTCTGTTTGGTCCAGACCGTGGTACTGGGGAGGTTCCACACCTGTAATTTTGGTTTGGATCAAACTGTCTGAAAGTCCCCTTAGTGTACTAACAGAAGTATCTGCATTGACACCCAGCGAAAGTCACGTGAGTCTGAGTGCTGCCCGACCTGATACTTTCAACGTCTGGATGCCCCCTAACGACAATGGGTCCCCTTGGCAGACTGGACCATGTGTGAAAATGAAATGTTTTGCATTAGTGTATAAAATTTTGACCCATTCGTGTATTAATGGAAGTATCCGAGTTGAGACACAGCGAGAGTTAGAAGAAAAACATATAAATGATGAATGAAGTCGTGTGTCCATCAGCCTGATCTCTCCTCTAACTCTGAAACCATCAGTTAGCCTCAGGCTGCACTGGGTCACATGTTCATCATCACCATGAGCACTGTCCTTTATTCTGACTCGGTCTCCCAGACACCGTCCTGCTGGCCCAAACAATCACTAGAGCTCCACATGTGGATTCATCCGCCGCTGAAAGTAGTCCCTAACAGATGTACTATTTCCTCCTGTTTGTCTGATAGAAACTACTGGTGTCCATTAGGTACCACTCAGTTTACCTTCTTTCTCCACCTGTCTTACACCACAGGTCCAGGGAAGCCCAACACACAACTCATTAAAGTCCATTTCTCTTAAAACTAAACACATGTCAACAATCAAACCAATTAAAAATGTAAAGACTGTAAAATGTAGCTGCCAGCAGGAGAAATTGGAGGAGAAACTGTTATATGCAAATATAACACTGGAGGAGGAGGAGGAGGCGGAGTTGTTAAAGACAAGAGAAGGAGAAAAGGGAAGCTGGGAAGATCTTGGACAAGGAGAGATGACTGACAACCAGGTAAGGAGGAGGTGAAGGATGGGAAGATGGAGGAGGAGGTACAGTGTCACCTTGCAGCCCGTTGGAGTTGTTGGAGCAGTTTGGTGGAGGAGGTGAAGCTGTTGGCCGGACGACGGGGGCGAAGGCGCTCTTCTGTTTGACGGCCGCCGAGAAGGAGAAAACTCCGTGAGAGGAGTTACAGTTAGAAACTGCCATGGTCGGACTGGAGGGAACAACTGGAACAGGAAACAGAACCCAGCTCAACAAACAAAAACTGTATTTAGTACTAAATAACAGAAAGGTCAGAGTAAGGAGGTGGTACCCAGGAGACCGGTGTTTGTTTCCCATGTGAAGCAAAAATTCAACGTTGATTCCTTTTAGTGATGTTATGTAACTTGTGTAACTTCAATAAGTAGCGTTACTTAACTTTAACGTAATTTAAGTCATGTAAGTAACATAGGTTCTCCTGAACCTAACCAAGTAGTTCTACTGCCTAAATCTAACCAAGTGGTTTTGGTGTCTAAACCTGACCAAGTAGTTTTGGTGACTAAATCTAACCAAGTGCTTTTGGTGACTAAGCCTGAGCAAGTAGTTTTGGTGAGTAAACCTGACCAAGTGGTTTTGGTGCCTAAACCTGAACAAATAGTTGGTTTTGGTGTCTAAACTTTAGCAAGTAGTTTTGGTGAGTAAACCTGACCAAGTGGTTTTGGTGCCTAAACCTGAGCAAGTAGTTTTGGTGAGTAAACCTGACCAAGTGCTTTTGGTGACTAAACCTGACCAAATGGTTGGTTTTGGTGTCTAAACATGAGCAAGTAGTTTTGGTGTCTAAGCCTGACCAAGTGTTTTTGGTGACTAAATCTAACCAAGTGCTTTTGGTGACTAAATCTGACGAAGTGCTTTTGGTGTCTAAGCCTGACAAAGCCTTTTGGTGACTAAATCTAACCAAGTGGTTTTGGTGACTATATCTAATCAAGTGCTTTTGGTGTCTAAGCCTGACCAAGTGCTTTTGGTACCTGAATCTACCCATGTACTTTTGGTGCCTAAACCTGAACAAATAGTTGGTTATGGTGACTAAATCTAACAAAGTGCTTTTGGTGTCTAAGCCTGAGCAAGTATTTTTGGTGACTAAATCTAACCAAGTGCTTTTGGTGAGTAAACCTGACCAAGTGCTTTTGGAGCCTAAACCTGAGCAAGTAGTTTTGGTGTTTAAACTTGAGCAAGTAGTTTTGGTGAGTAAACCTGACCAAGTGCTTTAAGTGCCTAAACCTGAGCAAGTAGTTTTGGTGAGTAAACCTGACCAAGTGCTTTTGGTGACTAAACCTGACTAAGTGGTTTTGGTGACTAAACCTGACCAAATGGTTGGTTTTGGTGTCGAAACATGAGCAAGTGTTTTTGGTGTCCAAGCCTGACCAAGTGCTTTTGGTGACTAAATCTAACCAAGTGCTTTTTGTGACTAAACCTGACCAAGAGCTTTTGGTGTCTAAGCCTGACCAAGTGTTTTTGGTACCTAAATCTACCCAAGTAGTTGTGGTGCCTAAACCTGACCAAGTAGTTTTGGTGAGTAAACCTGACCAAGTGGTTTTGGTGCCTAAACCTGAACAAATAGTTGGTTTTGGTGTCTAAACTTTAGCAAGTAGTTTTGGTGTCTAAGCCTGACCAAGTGGTTTTGGTGACTAAATCTAACCAAGTGCTTTTGGTGACTAAATCTAACCAAGTGCTTTTGGTGTCTAAGCCTGACCAAGTGTTTTGGTGCCTAAATCTACCCAAGTAGTTGTGGTGCCTAAACCTGACCAAGTGGTTTTGGTGACTAAATCTAACCAAGTGCTTTTGGTGACTAAATCTAACCAAGTGCTTTTGGTGACTAAATCTGACGAAGTGCTTTTGGTGTCTAAGCCTGACAAAGCCTGTTGGTGACTAAATCTAACCAAGTGCTTTTGGTGACTAAACCTGACCAAGTGCTTTTGGTGTCTAAGCCTGACCAAGTGCTTTTGGTACCTGAATCTACCCATGTACTTTTGGTGCCTAAACCTGAACAAATAGTTGGTTTTGGTGTCTAAACTTTAGCAAGTAGTTTTGGTGTCTAAGCCTGACCAAGTGGTTTTGGTGACTAAATCTAACCAAGTGCTTTTGGTGACTAAATCTAACCAAGTGCTTTTGGTGACTAAACCTGACCAAGTGCTTTTGGTGTCTAAGCCTGACCAAGTGCTTTTGCTACCTAAATCTACCCAAGTAGTTTTGGTGCCTAAACCTGACCAAGTGGTTTTAGTGACTAAATCTAATCAAGTGCTTTTGGTGTCTAAGCCTGACCAAGTGTTTTTGCTACCTAAATCTACCCAAGTAGTTGTGGTGCCTAAACCTGACCAAGTAGTTTTGGTGCCTAAACCTGAGCAAGTAGTTTTGGTGAGTAAACCTGACCAAGTGGTTTTGGTGCCTAAACCTGAACAAATAGTTGGTTTTGGTGTCTAAACTTTAACAAGTAGTTTTGGTGTCTAAGCCTGACCAAGTGGTTTTGGTGACTAAATCTAACCAAGTGCTTTTGGTGACTAAATCTAACCAAGTGCTTTTGGTGTCTAAGCCTGACAAAGCCTTTTGGTGACTAAATCTAACCAAGTGCTTTTGGTGTCTAAGCCAGACAAAGCCTTTTGGTGACTAAATCTAAGCAAGTGCTTTTGGTGCCTAAACCTGACCAAGTGCTTTTGGTGCCTAAACCTGACCAAATAGTTGGTTTTGGTGTCTAAACTTGAGCAAGTAGTTTTGGTGTCTAAGCCTGACCAATTGTTTTTGGTATCTGAATCTACCCAAGTAGTTGTGGTGCCTAAACCTGACCAAGTGGTTTTGGTGCCTAAACCTGAACAAATAGTTGGTTTTGGTGTCTAAACGTTAGCAAGTAGTTTTGGTGTCTAAGCCTGACCAAGTGGTTTTGGTGACTAAATCTAACCAAGTGGTTTTGGTGACTAAATCTAATCAAGTGCTTTTGGTGTCTAAGCCTGTCCATGTGTTTTTGGTACCTAAATCTACCCAAGTAGTTGTGGTGCCTAAACCTGACCAAGTGGTTTTGGTGACTAAATCTAACCAAGTGCTTTTGGTGACTAAATCTAACCAAGTGCTTTTGGTGACTAAATCTAACCAAGTGGTTTTGGTGACTATATCTAATCAAGTGCTTATTGGTGTCTAAGCCTGACCAAGTGCTTTTGGTACCTGAATCTACCCATGTACTTTTGGTGCCTAAACCTGAACAAATAGTTGGTTTTGGTGTCTAAACTTTAGCAAGTAGTTTTGGTGTCTAAGCCTGACCAAGTGGTTTTGGTGACTAAATCTAACCAAGTGCTTTTGGTGACTAAATCTAACCAAGTGCTTTTGGTGACTAAACCTGACCAAGTGCTTTTGGTGTCTAAGCCTGACCAAGTGCTTTTGCTACCTAAATCTACCCAAGTAGTTTTGGTGCCTAAACCTGACCAAGTGGTTTTAGTGACTAAATCTAATCAAGTGCTTTTGGTGTCTAAGCCTGACCAAGTGTTTTTGCTACCTAAATCTACCCAAGTAGTTGTGGTGCCTAAACCTGACCAAGTAGTTTTGGTGCCTAAACCTGAGCAAGTAGTTTTGGTGAGTAAACCTGACCAAGTGGTTTTGGTGCCTAAACCTGAACAAATAGTTGGTTTTGGTGTCTAAACTTTAACAAGTAGTTTTGGTGTCTAAGCCTGACCAAGTGGTTTTGGTGACTAAATCTAACCAAGTGCTTTTGGTGACTAAATCTAACCAAGTGCTTTTGGTGACTAAATCCAAGCAAGTGCTTTTGGTGTCTAAGCCTGACAAAGCCTTTTGGTGACTAAATCTAAGCAAGTGCTTTTGGTGTCTAAGCCAGACAAAGCCTTTTGGTGACTAAATCTAACCAAGTGGTTTTGGTGACTAAATCTAATCAAGTGCTTTTGGTGTCTAAGCCTGTCCATGTGTTTTTGGTACCTAAATCTACCCAAGTAGTTGTGGTGCCTAAACCTGACCAAGTGGTTTTGGTGACTAAATCTAACCAAGTGCTTTTGGTGTCTAAGCCTGACAAAGCCTTTTGGTGACTAAATCTAACCAAGTGGTTTTGGTGACTATATCTAATTAAGTGCTTTTGGTGTCTAAGCCTGACCAAGTGCTTTTGGTACCTGAATCTACCCATGTACTTTTGGTGCCTAAACCTGAAGAAATAGTTGGTTTTGGTGTCTAAACTTTAGCAAGTAGTTTTGGTGTCTAAGCCTGACCAAGTGGTTTTGGTGACTAAATCTAACCAAGTGCTTTTGGTGACTAAATCTAACCAAGTGCTTTTGGTGACTAAATCTGACGAAGTGCTTTTGGTGTCTAAGCCTGACAAAGCCTTTTGGTGACTAAATCTAACCAAGTGGTTTTGGTGACTATATCTAATCAAGTGCTTTTGGTGTCTAAGCCTGACAAAGCCTTTTGGTGACTAAATCTAAGCAAGTGCTTTTGGTGTCTAAGCCAGACAAAGCCTTTTGGTGACTAAATCTAAGCAAGTGCTTTTGGTGCCTAAACCTGACCAAATAGTTGGTTTTGGTGTCTAAACTTGAGCAAGTAGTTTTGGTGTCTAAGCCTGACCAATTGTTTTTGGTATCTGAATCTACCCAAGTAGTTTTGGTGAGTAAACCTGACCAAGTGGTTTTGGTGCCTAAACCTGAACAAATAGTTGGTTTTGGTGTCTAAACTTTAGCAAGTAGTTTTGGTGTCTAAACCTGACCAAGTGGTTTTGGTGATTAAACCTGACCAAGTAGTTTTGGTGCCTAAACCTGAACCAATAGGTGGTTTTGGTGACTAAGCCTGACAAAGCCTTTTGGTGACTAAATCTAAGCAAGTGATTTTGGTGTCTAAGCCTCACAAAGCCTTTTGGTGACTAAATCCAAGCAAGTGCTTTTGGTGTCTAAGCCAGACAAAGCCTTTTGGTGACTAAATCTAACCAAGTGCTTTTGGTGTCTAAGCCTGACCAAGTGTTTTTGCTACCTAAATCTACCCAAGTACTTTTGGTGCCTAAACCTGACCAAGTGGTTTTGGTGCCTAAACCTGACCAAATAGTTGGTTTTGGTGTCTAAACTTGAGCAAGTAGTTTTGGTGTCTAAGCCTGACCAAGTGCTTTTGGTGACTAAATCTAACCAAGTGCTTTTGGTGTCTAAGCCTGACAAAGCCTTTTGGTGACTATATCTAATCAAGTGCTTTTGGTGTCTAAGCCTGACAAAGTGTTTTTGGTACCTGAATCTACCCATGTAGTTTTGGTGCCTAAACCTGACCAAGTGGTTTTAGTGACTATATCTAATCAAGTGCTTTTGGTGACTATATCTAATCAAGTGCTTTTGGTGTCTAAGCCTGACCAAGTGTTTTTGGTATCTGAATCTACCCAAGTAGTTTTGGTGAGTAAACCTGACCAAGTGGTTTTGGTGCCTAAACCTGAACAAATAGTTGGTTTTGGTGTCTAAGCCTGACCAAGTGGATTTGGTGACTAAATCTAACCAAGTGCTTTTGGTGACTAAATCTGACCAAGTGTCTTGGTGCCTAAACCTGAGCAAGTAGTTTTGGTGTCTAAGCCTGACCAAGTGTTTTGATGACTAAACCTAACCAAGTGCTTTTGGTGTCTAAGCCTGACCAAGTGTTTTTGGTGACTAAATCTAACCAAGTGCTTTTGGTGACTAAACCTCTCCAAGTGCTTTTGCTGTTTAAACTTGAGCAAGTAGTTTTGGTGAGTAAACCTGACCAAGAGCTTTTGGTGCCTAAACCCGAGCAAGTAGTTTTGGTGTTTAAACTTGAGCAAGTAGTTCTGGTGAGTAAACCTGACCAAATGTTTTTGGTGACTAAATCTAACCAAGTGCTTTTGGTGACTAAACCTCTCCAAGTGCTTTTGCTGTTTAAACTTGAGCAAGTAGTTCTGGTGAGTAAACCTGACCAAATGTTTTTTGTGACTAAACCTGACCAAGAGCTTTCGGTGTCTGAGCCTGACCAAGTGCTTTTGCTACCTAAATCTACCCAAGTGCTTTTGGTGCCTAAACCTGAGCAAGTAGTTCTGGTGAGTAAACTTGAGCAAGTAGTTCTGGTGAGTAAACCTGACCAAATGTTTTTGGCGACTAAATCTAACCAAATGCTTTTTGTGACTAAACCTGACCAAGTGCATTTGGTGTCTAAGCCTGACCAAGTGCTTTTGCTACCTAAATCTACCCAAGTAGTTTTGGTGCCTAAACTTGACCAAGAGGTTTTAGTGACTAAATCTAATCAAGTGCTTTTGGTGACTAAACCTCTCCAAGTAGTTTTGGTGAGTAAACCTGACCAAGTGGTTTTGGTGCCTAAACTTGAACAAATAGTTGGTAGTGGTAGTATTTACCTTGATACTTACTGCCATAGGGGGAGTTGGCAGATGACCCGTTGAGGAAGCCGGGTGATGTCGCCACGCCGAGGTTTGGCATGCCGCTGTTGCCGTAGCCGTTCATGCTGTTACTGACTGTGTTTCCATAGTTATTTTGTTGGGGGGTGGAGCTTGGTACGTAACCCCGCGGCGACACGCTGCTCGTGTTACGACTGTAACCAACTGAAAGAGGATGACATCACAGGTTTAACAGGACGACAGTAACCTGCTGCTCACTACTGTTAATGGCACCAAGTGTTCCCAGTGTGCCCAGAGTGCCCAGTGTTCCCAGTGTGCCCAGTGTTCCCAGTGTCCCCAGTGTGCCCAGTGTTCCCAGTGTGTCCAGTGTTCCCAGTGTGCCCAGTGTTCCCAGTGTGCCCAGTGTTCCCAATGTGCCCAGTGTGCCCAGAGTGCCCATTGTGCGTCTTTAAAGACGCCTAACAGAGCAAACACACTGATGAGCTTAACTCTGCAGGATGCTTACTGTTTATCCACAGCTTTCAACCACATCTTATGGCCTTCCTCAGTGGATGGAACAGTCACATGACAACAGGTGGTTGTACATTCTGTGTTCAGAGCTCTCTGGTGTTGGATCTGAACTTCCTCCCTGACCTCTACCTGGCATGATCACTCTTGAACTGTCTACATCCACAGAGGAAGACCAAGAGATGCAGTTGGAAGCCCACCTTGGGTCCAGACCTCATCATGTGTCCCGTCACAGTACCATCTCACTCCTGGTTCCTCCACACCTACAGCACCTTTACGTGCACTACTTTTCCACGTACCTTGCGTTGTGTCTGAGACGTTGACGGCCAACTGTCCGCTGAAAGAGTTAACTCCCATCATGCCGTGTGAGGCAGTGTTGCCTAGCGATGGGATCTGGTTGTGGTTTCTGGGAACGCTGTAGAGAGCTTCGGCAATGTCAGCCGCTCGCTTCAGGATGATCTCCTGCACAGAGTCAGACCTGTGAGGAGTCTGGATAAACCACCCAACATCTGAGGTTCGCCACACCTGTTGTATTTCTATTTAAACATGATGACTGAAGATTTGTGTTTCTGACTGACATTAAAAACACACACGTTCAGCCTGTTTCACATTGTCACACACACACAGTGCTGTTATCATTGTTACTACAGTTGGATTTACATTCGTTTACAACCGCCGCTCTCTCTTCAAGGTTACTCTCTCTCTCCAGTGCACCTGAGTGTGTATGTTTGTGTGTGTGTGTGTTTCTGTGTGTGTTTCTGTGTGTGTGTTTGGGGTGATTAACTCATGGGTTGAGAAGCGTGTCGGGGAGTCGGATAATGGAGTGAATATAAAGTGTTTCAAGAGGTTCTGACTCGTAAACCCGGAGCAAGAGGGACGTCCTGTTTGCTGAGCATCATGGGAATTTTTTTTTCAAGAAAATAAACACGTTCCCGTCTTGAGAAACAAAACTTGTGCATGTGTGAACTATAGTAAAGTCTGACCCACACTTTACCTGACCTCAACCCAGAGAAGTTCAGTTTTCACTGTTGGTATAAAAAACAGTGTGACAAGATAATCTTCACTCTAACTGCACTTCACAGCTTTTCCTGGGCTTTCAGACCCATCTGATGGTTATTCTCAGCAGATGCAGTTTACTGAGTCCATCACGTCTGACTGTTGCCTGTTCTCAGTAACTGGAAGATCAGAGGTTTTATTCAGTGTCCAGATTTCAATACGGTGCAGCATGAAGAAAGGTGGTGAAGGCTCCAGTTCTGATTTGTGTTCTGGTGATGTGATTAAAATGTGGGAACCAGAAGAACCCAAACAGATATGTGGACAGATGTGCAGGTGCAAACGTTACCTGGTTGTTATGAGGCATCCCATAGAGCGCCTCCACCAGGTCAGCTGCCCTCTTCAACAGCACCTCCTAAAAGGAGGTGGAGAGAGGAGGTTAATAAACAGAAGGGCTGCGTGACCTCCAGCAAGTTGGCCTCCTGCTGCTGCTTCCTGCGTGTCAGCATTTCATTCACCTCCGTTGTATTTCCTGCTTCCTGTTTGTTGTCACCAAAGTAAAAAATGTTCTTTACTTTGAAAAGCTGATTCACTGTTTCACATTTTAGGAGCAAACAGAAACAGATGGAGCGAGAGAGAAAGAGAGAAAGAGAGAGAGAGAGAGTGGTTGTTGACCTGATGGTATTAAACAGTGTTTATTCCAATCAGAGCTCAGGTACACTTCACAGAGCGCACACACACAAACAAACACACACACACACACACACCACACACACACACACACTGTAACACACTCAGAAACACACACACACACACACACACTGTAACACACTCAGAAACACACACACACACACACACACACTGTAACACACACACAAACATACACAAACACACACACTGTAACACACTCAGAAACACACACACACACAAACAGAAACACACACCAGAAAAACACACAACACACACACACAGAAACACACACACACACACACACGCACACACACTCTCTCTCAGAGTCTCTCACACTCAGCTACCTCAGTGAGCACTGAGTGTTAAAATGCTGCCAAACAAAAAGCACAGTGTGTTACAGTGTGTGTGTGCGTGTGTGTGCGTGTGTGTGCGTGTGTGTTACAGTGTGTGTGTGTGTGTGCGTGTGTGTTACAGTGTGTGTGTGCGTGTGTGTGCGTGTGTGTAATCAGGCAGCAGCAGAACAATGCTTTGTTGAGTCTTTATCTTAATTAAACACTCACTCAGTTAATCTGCTGCTTTTCATTACCAACTTCTTCAGGAGGGTTTCAATTAACCCCACCCCCTCATCCCTCCATCACTCTGTTCATCCCTCCATCACTCTGTCCATCACTCTGTTCATCCCTCCATCACTCTGTTCATCCCTCCATCACTCTGTCCATCACTCTGTTCATCCCTCCATCACCCTTTAATCCCTCCATCACTCGTTCATCCCTCCATCACTCTGTTCATCACTCCATCACTCTGTTCATCACTCCATCACTCTGTTCATCCCTCCATATCTGTTCATCCCTCCATATCTGTTCATCCCTCCATCACTCTGTCCATCACTCTGTTCATCCCTCCATCACTCTGTTCATCACTCCATCACTCTGTTCATCCCTCCATATCTGTTCATCCCTCCATATCTGTTCATCCCTCCATCACTCTGTTCATCCCTCCATCACTCTGTCCATCACTCTGTTCATCACTCCATCACTCTGTCCATCACTCTGTCCATCACTCTGTTCATCCCTCCATCACTCTGTCCATCACTCTGTTCATCACTCTGTCCATCACTCTGTTCATCACTCTGTCATCACTCTGTTCATCCCTCCATCACTCTGTCCATTCCTCCATATCTGTTCATCCCTCCATCACTCTGTTCATCACTCCATCACTCTGTTCATCCCTCCATCACTCTGTCCATCACTCTGTTCATCCCTCCAACACTCTGTCCATCACTCTGTTCATCACTCTGTCATCACTCTGTTCATCCCTCCATCTCTCTGTCCATCCCTCCATATCTGTCCATCCCTCCATCACTCTGTTCATCCCTCCATCACTCTGTTCATCACTCCATCACTCTGTTCATCCCTCCATCACTCTGTCCATCACTCTGTTCATCCCTCCATCACTCTGTTCATCACTCTGTCCATTCCTCCATATCTGTCCATCCCTCCATCACTCTGTCCATCCCTCCATCACTCTGTCCATCCCTCCATCACTCTGTCCATCACTCTATCCATTCCTCCATATCTGTCCATCCCTCCATCACTCTGTCCATCCCTCCATAACTCTGTCCATCCCTCCATCACTCTGTCCATCACTCTGTCCATTCCTCCATCTGTCCATCCCTCCATCACTCTGTCCATCCCTCCATCACTCTGTCCATCCCTCCATCACTCTGTCCATCACTCTGTCCATTCCTCCATATCTGTCCATCCCTCCATCACTCTGTTCATCACTCTGTCCATTCCTCCATATCTGTTCATCCCTCCATCACTCTGTTCATCCCTCCATCACTCTGTCCATCCCTCCATCACTCTGTCCATCCCTCCATCACTCTGTCCATCACTCTGTCCATTCCTCCATATCTGTCCATCCCTCCATCACTCTGTCCATCCCTCCATCACTCTGTCCATCCCTCCATCACTCTGTCCATCACTCTATCCATTCCTCCATATCTGTCCATCCCTCCATCACTCTGTCCATTCCTCCATATCTGTCCATCCCTCCATCACTCTGTTCATCACTCTGTCCATTCCTCCATATCTGTTCATCCCTCCATCACTCTGTTCATCCCTCCATCACTCTGTCCATCCCTCCATCACTCTGTCCATCACTCTGTCCATTCCTCCATATCTGTCCATCCCTCCATCACTCTGTTCATCACTCTGTCCATTCCTCCATATCTGTCCATCCCTCCATCACTCTGTCCATCACTCTGTCCATTCCTCCATATCTGTTCATCCCTCCATCACTCTGTTCATCCCTCCATCACTCTGTTCATCCCTCCATCACTCTGTCCATCCCTCCATCACTCTGTCCATCACTCTGTCCATTCCTCATATCTGTCCATCCCTCCATCACTCTGTCCATCCTCCATCACTCTGTTCATCACTCCATCACTCTGTTCATCCCTCCATATCTGTCCATCCTCCATCACTCTGTCCATCACTCTGTCCATTCCTCCATATCTGTCCATCCCTCCATCACTCTGTTCATCCCTCCATCACTCTGTCCATTCCTCCATATCTGTCCATCCCTCCATCACTCTGTTCATCACTCTGTCCATTCCTCCATATCTGTTCATCCCTCCATCACTCTGTCCATCCCTCCATCACTCTGTTCATCCCTCCATCACTCTGTTCATCCCTCCATCACTCTGTCCATTCCTCCATCACTCTGTTCATCCCTCCATCACTCTGTTCATCCCTCCATCACTCTGTTCATCCCTCCATCACTCTGTTCATTCCTCCATCACTCTGTTCATCCCTCCATCACTCTGTCCATCCCTCCATCACTCTGTCCATCCCTCCATCACTCTGTTCATCCCTCCATCACTCTGTCCATTCCTCCATATCTGTCCATCCCTCCATCACTCTGTTCATCACTCTGTCCATTCCTCCATATCTGTTCATCCCTCCATCACTCTGTTCATCCCTCCATCACTCTGTCCATCCCTCCATCACTCTGTCCATCACTCTGTCCATTCCTCCATATCTGTCCATCCCTCCATCACTCTGTCCATCCCTCCATCACTCTGTCCATCCCTCCATCACTCTGTCCATCACTCTATCCATTCCTCCATATCTGTCCATCCCTCCATCACTCTGTCCATCACTCTGTCCATCACTCTGTTCATCCCTCCATATCTGTTCATCCCTCCATATCTGTCCATCCCTCCATCACTCTGTCCATCACTCTGTCCATTCCTCCATATCTGTCCATCCCTCCATCACTCTGTTCATCCCTCCATCACTCTGTCCATTCCTCCATATCTGTCCATCCCTCCATCACTCTGTCCATCACTCTGTCCATTCCTCCATATCTGTTCATCCCTCCATCACTCTGTCCATCACTCTGTCCATTCCTCCATATCTGTTCATCCCTCCATCACTCTGTTCATCACTCTGTCCATTCCTCCATATCTGTTCATCCCTCCATCACTCTGTCCATTCCTCCATATCTGTCCATCCCTCCATCACTCTGTCCATCACTCTGTTCATCCCTCCATCACTCTGTCCATCACTCTGTCCATCACTCTGTCCATTCCTCCATATCTGTTCATCCCTCCATCACTCTGTCCATCACTCTGTCCATTCCTCCATATCTGTTCATCCCTCCATCACTCTGTCCATCACTCTGTCCATCACTCTATCCATTCCTCCATATCTGTTCATCCCTCCATCACTCTGTCCATCACTCTGTCCATTCCTCCATATCTGTTCATCCCTCCATCACTCTGTCCATTCCTCCATATCTGTTCATCCCTCCATCACTCTGTTCATCACTCTGTCCATTCCTCCATATCTGTTCATCCCTCCATCACTCTGTCCATTCCTCCATATCTGTCCATCCCTCCATCACTCTGTCCATCACTCTGTCCATCCCTCCATCACTCTGTCCATCCCTCCATCACTCTGTTCATCACTCTGTCCATCCCTCCATATCTGTCCATCCCTCCATCACTCTGTCATCACTCTGTTCATCCCTCCATCACTCTGTCCATCACTCTGTTCATCCCTCCATCACTCTGTCCATCACTCCATCACTCTGTCATCACTCTGTTCATCCCTCCATCACTCTGTTCATCACTCCATCACTCTGTCATCACTCTGTTCATCCCTCCATCACTCTGTCATCACTCTGTCCATCACTCCATCACTCTGTCATCACTCTGTCCATCACTCCATCACTCTGTCCATTCCTCCATATCTGTCCATTCCTCCATCACTCTGTTCATCACTCCATCACTCTGTTCATCCCTCCATCACTCTGTCCATCACTCTGTCCATCCCTCCATCACTCTGTCATCACTCTGTTCATCACTCCATCACTCTGTCATCACTCTGTTCATCACTCCATCACTCTGTCCATTCCTCCATATCTGTTCATCCCTCCATCACTCTGTCCATTCCTCCATATCTGTTCATCCCTCCATCACTCTGTCCATTCCTCCATATCTGTTCATCCCTCCATCACTCTGTCCATTCCTCCATATCTGTTCATCCGTCCATCACTCTATCCATTCCTCCATATCTGTTCATCCCTCCATCACTCTGTTCATCACTCTGTCCATTCCTCCATATCTGTTCATCCCTCCATCACTCTATCCATTCCTCCATATCTGTTCATCCCTCCATCACTCTGTTCATCACTCTGTCCATTCCTCCATATCTGTTC